CCATTCTGGCCTCACTCTCAAGCAGGAAGGGCAGTGAGAACAGCCCCCCGGTGCTGCTCCACAGCCGGAAGCCAGAAATAGGCCAGCCTGGAAGCCTTCATGCTCTTAATGGGAGCCTTTCCAGCCTTGTTTCGGTTTTTCCCTCCTGTTCCTGGATAAGCTGGGGGAGATATGGACCAAAAGCCCCCCCCCCCCATGCCTCAAATGGGGGTTGGGGATTGTTTATGTTCCCCCTGGATCAGACAGCGCTGCCTTACTGTACAGCGTGTAAGAGATGCGCACGTCGCATTGCCAACGCCACCGACCCAACTTCGGCTGCGCAAACGTTGCCACAGAATGACTCAAAATACTCGGATGATGAGCAGCTGTATTTAACTACGCTGTGCGACTGTAACTCAGTTCAAATCAAATCAAATCAAATTTAGGTTTGATCCCGGGCCGCCCACTTTCAAGCAGTCACTTCTGAAATCACCCCCCGGCCTGACGAGTAAGCGCATCCCGGCTTGTGAAGCCTGTTCTCAGGGGTCCTCCTGGGGCCACGGTGGACCCCGCACAACTGTTTAGCAACACCAACGTTCCCACGCTGAAGGGGTCCTGGTCTGAAAAAGCCCCCGGTGAGTCGGATCACATCTGAGGCGCCCAGGCATCAGGCTTGGCCCCTGGGTCTCTCCCACGTTTGGCCTCTGGCAGGGTTAGCAGGAGCAAGGCGCCCACCGAAACCGCCTTCAGGCTGAGCACGCTGTGCATGGCGCCCTGCGGGGTGGCGGCGCCCGAGCTCTGCAGGCAGGGCTTCCACCCCGAGGCCGCCTCCAGCGGCTCGCTCTTCGGGGCGTGCACTCGCTGGTGCTTGAGGAGGTTGGCGCTCTGGCCGAAGGTCCTCTCACAGTGGGGGCACTTGAAGGGCCCCTCGCCCGTGTGGACACGCCGGTGCCGGATCAGGGTGGAGCCCCGGCGGAAGGTTTTCTCACAGTGAGGACACTGGTAGGGCTTCTCGCCGTCGTGCAGCCGCTGGTGGCGCATGAACTCCTGCCTGCAGGTGAACGTGGAGCTGCAGGAGGCGCAGGGGTACGGCTGTTCCCCGGTGTGGATTCGCTGGTGCCAGGTGAACTCCTGCTTGTACCGGAAGCTCTTGTCGCAGCCGGAGCATCTGTAGACCTTCTCTCCCGTGTGGCTCCTCTGGTGCCAGGTGAATTCTTGCTTGAAGCGGAAGCTCTTCTCACACGCGCTGCATTTGTACGGCCGGTCGCCCACGTGGGCCCGCTGGTGCCACATGAACTCCTGCTTGTACCGGAAGCTCTTCTCGCACTCGGGGCACTTATAGGGGCGCTCCACGGAGTGGGTCTTCAGGTGCCACGTCAGTTCCTGCTTGAAGCGGAAGTTCTTCTCACAGGTGGCACATTTGTGGGGCCACTCTGCCGTGTGGGTGCGCTGGTGCCACATCAGCTCCTGCTTGTGCCGAAAGACCTTTGCGCACTCGCTGCACCTGTACGTCTTTTCTCCAGCGTGCACCTTTTGATGCCAGGCGTACTCGTGGGCGTAGCGGAAGGTCTTGTCACACTTCCCGCATTTGTAGGGCCTTTCCTCCTTGAGGGCCCCCCTCGGGCGGACGCCCAGCGTGGAACAGTGCGCACAGGTGCAGGGCAGCACCCCAGCTCGGCTTGGGGGATCAGCAGGGGTTGGGGGGTTCTTAAGGCGCCCACCCTCACATTCAGGGCACACCTGCACCCGTGCTCCAAGGGGCACTGCGGACGGGATGTGGAGTGCAGAACGGGCAGGGAAACATTTCTGGCATTGGGTACAGATCAGCAGCATCTCCTCACGGGTGCCGGGCTGGAGGGCTGTGACGGCCGGGGGCCAGGAACTGCTTTCTCCAGCCTCTTGAGATGCAACCCGAAATTCCACGGGGAGAGCCTGCTCACCCACCATGGTGCCGCCGGCCCACCTGGGCCCCGCATCCCAGGGAGGCAGAGCTGCCGTTCCATTCACCGCAGAATCAGGCCTGAGGGGGCCTCCTGGCCACACGGGTGGCTCGCCAAGGGATCCGTGGTCTTGGCTTCCCTCCCGGGCCTGTGGGCCCAGCAGGCGGCACGCAAGTCCTGCGCCATCCTCCTCAAGAGCCCGCTGGCCACCTCCTGGAACAAGAGGCCAACAGAAGCATTACGCAGACGCACAAGAGCAAGAATATACAATTTACTGGGCGGGGGGTGGGTGGGCAAATGGGCGCATTAGGAATTCTGAGCGCATCCCAGGGGAGTTCTCACAAAACAGCCGCCATAAGGATGGGCGCATTTACCAAGCGTCGGCCTCCGTGGGCATAGCCAGTCGCAACCCTGCCCTTTTTTGTTTTAGATCTTTTATCCCCTTTCTTGTTTTTATAAATAACTCAGGGTGGTGAACACACCTCCTCCTCCTTCCTCCTCCTCTTTTTCCCACCACAACAACCCTGTGAGGTGGGCTGGGCTGAGAGAGAGCAACTGGCCCAAAGTCACCCAGCCAGCTTTCGTGCCTAAGGCGGGACTAGAACTCACCGTCTCCTGCTTTCTAGCCTGGCGCCTTCTAGCTTTCCCCTTCTTCCTCCTCCTCCTCCTCTTCCCCTTCCTCCTTCTCCTCCTTTTCCTTCTCCCTCTTTCTCCTTTCACTTTCTTGTTGTCTTCCTTCCTTCCTTCCTTCCTTCCTTCCTTCCTTCCTTCCTTCCTTCCTTCCT